TATATATATATTATGTTTACTAAGACTGAGTTTTGTACTTGGAAGCAGTTCATGTTTCTGTTGGAACAATATTGATCTTATTACGTTAAAAGCATGAAAGAAAATGTGATTGGGTTGGTAGAACTCTAATACAGTCATTAATGTAGGCATTTTGCACTCTGCATTTCTCCATTTTAGAGTAAATTTTATAGTGACTGATAAAATCATAATTAATAAAATCATAATTAGTTGAGCATACTGAAACTGTGGAATTCTGAGCCAAATGATGTTGATTCAAAACTTTCGTTCTACTGAAATATTAATGAAGAATATATATTACTGATGACTCAGAATATTTGGGTTTATTTATTATGCATTAATGAAAATGTACAAGCGAAAGATGTTTGCCTGATGCCCATCCATATACATGTTTCAACTCAGAAACACTGGATATAGGTTTTAATGAAATATGACTTGCAGGAGATTCTTGCAAAAAAATTGTTTGGTTATTTTAATTTTCATAGACCTTCATACTATTATAGAAGTGTGGGATGTCAATGTTCCAAGAGACAACCACATAAAACTATTAACAGGTATGACTTGATATGCCCTGGGAGTAAGAATTGTCTGGTTGACTGAAAGGAAAGGAGTTGTCTGTCTGACCAAAGGAGTAGTCTGTTGGACTGTGGGAAGTTCAGATTGAACCTCTGCAGTATCGTTATATCAGCCCCTCATTGAAGTAATTCTAAATGAAATTAATTAATTGTATTCACATATTTGTATTGGGTTGAAACAAATTATCCTTGTCTTCATGTTGAAAATTCATTACCTTGTCATGCACTATTAATGCCTTGTACTGTAGAGATACTTGTATAAGATTTTCCAGTTTCAAACGTTTCCTAGTTTCTTCCCTGATTTCCTAGTGAAATTATTTTAAGGTATACTATGTATAACTTCCTTTATGTGTTCACATTAAGCAGACCAATAATTGAAAGCATGTTCCTGTATTATTATTCTTCAGGTTCTTTCACCATTATGTCCCCTCATTTCAGTTCCCCCACCCCCCATGTTTTTTTAAAATAAATTTACAGCAAACGTATGCCATTTTCATTAAAAAAGTCTGTTCAGTTAGCAGAAATTCTAACAGGTGATTTTACATTCATAATGTGTTGTAGTTGTACTCTCAGTGTTATTAATACATCTGCAGCTGTTTTATTAAAAGCATGTCTATAAAATGTGTGCCAGATGACAGAATACATTCAAAATTTTTTCGTGTGATCTACTTCTGCTCCTTTTTGCAATACATCAGAGATCCTAAGTCAAAAGTCTTAGCATATGTTGACTTCTGTGGATTGTGTAGTCATGGCCTAAGCACATAAGTATTGTTTTTCCTGTGAGGCATGTAGATGGCATCCTTCACAAGCTTTTTTTTTCCTCCAAGTTTTGTCCCTAGAGATAATGTAAAGTTTTGAGGAAACTTTTCATTTTGACCTTTAATTTCAAGGTGCACAATGACAAAATAACTGTATACTCATGATTCAAGGAAACATCAAGTTTTTTGCTTTGGATCTTTTGCCGGAATTTTCCCATAAGTTGTGATTTTTTAATATATGTGAATGGATTTTCATATTAAATTTTGCAGTGGATTGTTTATTGATGCCAAGGTGCAAAGCCACAATTCTGACAGACTTGGTATGTGAACAGAATCTCAGTTTATTTCCTGCTGTTGTTGGAAATGAGTCTTATGGGTTGTGATGCCATGTTGCTAGATATATGCTAAAGTTTCAGAGATACTTCTTCCATGATGAGGGTAGATATTCCACCCCAGAGATGGAGGAAGTAGTTTCCTCTCAAACTTCTTTGCTTTTAGACCAAGTTGCATGTTGTTACATCCTAGAAGTAGCAAATGAGAACCTCATATCTCACATGCCAGCATTGATCAAATTCTTTCCTCTAATTTTCTTTCTATAGATGTTTGTATGTGTTTGTGTATGTAGGCTGCAATAGCGTGAAAAGTTGTTTTTAATTTATGTTTATTTTTACTGTCCATAGATAAGTTCACATCACTACGAGAGCAGTTGAATGAGTTCGGTGGATTTGTGGTTGGTTTGCCGCGTGGACATAGCCAGAAGGGTAGGCAGAGTTACCGTAATCCCTTTGACATCCCACGTCATTGCCTACTGGACCAAGCGGTTCGGATGAGAGCAAACTTTCTTCAGCCTGCACTGGCTCACACAAAACTAATAGATGATGGTAGGTGTTTGTCTCTGTCATGCAGAATTTTGGGAATTTTCTCAGAATTTCTGTTTAAGTCAATGTTAATTGGAAAGCAGGAACCATAAATTGAAATGATTTAAACAGGGAACTTATGACTGAATGCGGTATACTGTGTGCAGAAAATAGCCCAGTTACATTTCTTAATAGAACTTTGATGTCACCATGAAAATGATGATCTGGGATGTGACTATGCAATAGGTTCCAGCATCTTGAAGGAACATGCTGCCCCTGTCTTCAGGGTACATTCATTCATTCATTCATCAGTAATCTGTCAAGACGACAGGTCCACAGTCTCTTCCAAAACAGTTCCTCCACTTGATGCGATCTAGAGCTTTCTCCTTCAAATGAGAATATCCTCTTCTGTCCCCAAGGTCATCCAGCATCTTCTTACGTCTTCTTCCTCGTCTTCTGGTCACTTCTATCTGCCCCTCTATCTTTCCTTCAATAACTTCTTTTAGAAGGCAGTTACTGCGTAACATATGACCAATCAAATTAGCCTTCCATTTTCTTATTTCGTGTAGGATATTCCTCTGCTCACTGACTTAAAATAACACTTCTTCATTCCTCACATAATCGGTCCAACTGATCTTCTCCATCCTTCTCCAACACCACATTTCGAAGCTTTCCAGGTGTTTCTGATCTACTGCCCTAAGTGTCCAAGTTTCCATCCCATACAAAGTAATGCTCCAAATGTAGCATTTCACCAGTTTCTTTCTCAATACTGGATATATTACAGCGTTCCGTATATGCCTCCTATTTTTTTTAAAGAAAACAACAACAGATACAGAAAGCATAATAATGCAGTTAAATGGAGCAAGATTTCAGCTACTTACAATTATTTTTCCACATAATCGCCACCATTCGTTATGCACTTTTGCCAGCGATTAACAAAAGCCTGTATGCCGCGCTCATAAAAGTCTGCGCCAGCAGAGGCTAGCCACTTTCTTACAGCTGCAATGACAGCATCATTGTCTGGAAAGTGTTGCCCACATAGTCCATCTTTCTTAGGCCCAAAGAGATGGAAGTCTGAAGGTGCTAAACCGGGGCTATAAGGTGGATGTGGTAGGACAGTCCAGCCAAACTTTGTAATGTGCGCGGTGGTCGCCAATCTTATATGGGGTCTAGTGTTATCGTGTTGCAAGCAAAAGGTTCTCTGCTTCTTTGGCCTGACTCGGGAAATGCGGGCTTTCAGCTTAGTCAGCATCGTTTTGTAGCGTTCAGCATTGACAGTCCCTGGTTGTTATCTGCTGATCTGTATGGATGAGGTGCTGTTCATTGTGAGGAGTGGCAGCTGAGCAGGGACACCGAGGGCGTGGCTTGTCATGCACTTCACTTTCGCCACTGTTGAAACGCACTACCTACCGCCTCACTGTGCTGACATCCGCTGTATTGTCTCCATACACCTTTAGCAAGTGTCAGTGGATGTCAGTGGGTACAATTTGTTCGGCAGTGAGAAATTCAATAACAGATCTGTGTTTCATACGCACTTCTATGTCAGACACCATTTTGGTAGACTGCTCTGCTGTCACTATCTGTCGCACGACAACCAAACTAACAGTAGATTGGCGGGAAGGGTCAACCTTTACTACAACACCACCAACATCCATCTCAGACATTACATATTAACACAAAAAAATAGGAGGCATTATTTATGGAACGCCCCTAGTATTTTATGTTTCTGAGTAATAATGTTTTGTTTTATTTTGTTTTTTTTTTCGCTTTTTATGATCCCTGCCAAAACAAGATTAAATATTTTAAATATTTCAAACATTACTGAAGTTTTGCACAGAATTTTTTCCAGTTTTTCAAACATTTATTCATGAGTTTTTATATTTTCTTTGTTATCTATCATTGTCATAAGTGACATAATTTTTTTTTACTAGTGTGAATTGTGGGTAATGTGTACTGTGGAACTATGTATTGTATGCAGTATATTTCATTGACCAAAATATGTTCTGGGTGTATTGCAGAAGAAAAAGTGCATTAAATGGACATATTGAAAGAAATAAACATGTCATTATCATCACAGCTGTCACTGTGAACGATTAATATTCCTGTTTTTCTTTTGGGTCTTAATTTAACAAATTATTTCCACTCTTCTTCATGTTTTACCTTTTCATTTAACTTCGTTCTTTTTCTCCATATATGTCTTGTTAACTTATTTTCTTAAAAATGGTACCCTTACTGTTCTGACACTGTACATTATTATATCATGGCTATACACGTCTGATCTTGATTTATGCAGTATTCCCTTTAAGAGCTTTCTTCTGTCATACTTCACTCTTTTAATCATTTCATTCAAACTTGGTAGGAATCTCATTCGACCGTTTGCACATACTAAAAGCCCCTTAGCTCTTGTCCATGTATGCAGTTCCATTATTTTTATTTTATCTTTAATTGAATTATTCTCCAATGCTATATTCCATAGATTTCGCACACAGTATGCCAGTAAGTCAAATGGGCAATTACCAAGAGTACCTGAAACGTATGCAACCCCAGCTTCGTGAAATAGAGTCTGCACCCGTTCGACAGCACATGTTTGGAAATCCATTCAAAATAGACAAGGTAAGTTAACTGATCAGCTGTTTGTGAGTTTATGCTTAATTGAGATGTTTACCAGATTTACTTGTGTAATGTCCCTCTACAGTTGTAGAAATAAGAATAAAAAAGATACGATGTAATAATGTGTACGTGTAGTTGAATGACAAAAGCCATTCTCATGGGTAGAACACTGTAAACTGGATTTTCAACACATACAATTTAAGAAACCCTTTTTTTTTTCTTGGATCTAATATGAATTTTTTTTAAGTTTGAATTACTCTATATACTGGTGTATAAGATGACCTCCATATTTTCAGTTAAAAATTTAAGTTTTGTGTTATAATTTCAGGTTAGCCTGTAAAATATGATTTAAACAAATATGCATACACATCCTGCAAAATCATCTTCTTGAAAACTTTAAGCTTCCCCCATACATAAAAAGAGAAGTCCCTCAGATGTTGTATGGGATATGCCAGGATTTTCTTCTTCTAAGAAAGAAAATAGTATAATGTGTTTGGCCACTGAAGACGACGTTCAAATTGTTAATTGGTTTATTTAACCAATTTATGTTTTTATTTAAAAACCACCCATCAGTAATACCAACATTGCAGCCTCTCAAATTGCATTGTTATATTGACTTCATTATGCATACATACTAAGGATTTTTTCTGCATGTCATGTCAGATACTCAGATTGTAGTGAGAGGATCTTCCCATAACGTTTTGTTGTTCTTGTAGCGAATGATGGTAGATGAGGCTGATATGGATCCAGTTGGTGGAGGAAGTGGAACCCATGGGACCACCAATAGTCACAGAAGTGGAACGAAACGTGGTGCATCGCAGATGGACCCATCTTCTCCAAGGCTCCCAAATAAACGCAAACCTGGACCAATTCCTCGACATGTAGTTGTAAGAAGACCAACTTCTCCATCACCTCGACCATCCCCCCTCGCCTCTCCAAATTCCTCCCCTTGTTCCAGTCCAGTGTGGTTTTCACCAGATCCCCCACCACCTTTACTTACCCCAGTCACTCTCACTGTCATGTCCATGGAATCTGGCAAAGGGGAGTCATTGGTTACAGGCCCAGATTCAGAAGGCTCGGAGCCACCGAAGTTAACGATGGTCAATGGAGATCTGGGTAATTTGAAGACTGGAGATCTCCTATCCTACCCTTGCAACATATGTAGTATTTTCTTTTTTAAAGAGGCGTGTTAAAGACATAGCTATCTGAGTACTTCTATACAACCAAAATTCTCTCACCTGCTAGTCCAGGTGCATTATCCAATTTTATGAATGCACTGATCACTGTTACTGCAATTGAACCCCCATTTAATGTTGCTTGATTTAAGGGTTTCCCTCATAATGTTCAGTTTAGTGATCTCAGTTTAATAACGCTCAATTTAAGATTTTGTTCAGTTTAGTGTTCCAATCCGCTGCTCCCAAAAAAAATAATAAGTAAAGTTTTGCTGTGTTTGGAACTGCTGTCATTTTTGAGCAAATGAGCCATGCAGGTTAACAGATTGGAATTGAATTCTGCATAAGAACTCTGAAAAGTATAACAGTGCATAATATTAACTTTAAGCATCCTTTTTCATTGATTTATTACTTAGGTATTTATTTTCAGTCTCATGAATGTAACTTTCGTATATGTTTCAAGTGACCACACTGCTGTATTTCATTCAGTTGTTCTCATTATTAGTGTATTTCAGCTTTGCGTGGTCATATTTAGGTGTATCATATGTTGTAAGTCATTTCACTCTATTATTCTATCAAGGGAAGCCCCAGTTGCAGTCAATTAGAAGTGGAAAGTTAAAATAAGTTTAAAAATGAAATGGATAGTTAATTGAAGTTTTCCTCTTTTGAGGATGAACACTAATGCACTTGTCATATATGGCTATCTGATTTTTTTTTAGTCTCTTGACAGTGAATGAAAATGTCCTTTGGAGGTTGAGTGATTGATTGTTATAGATAGATTTGCTGTGCAGTTATGTTGTCACAGGCCATGTTTATTGGGTTTCAGGTTTGTGGTTGGTGAGTGAGGACTCACATTTAAGTATGATTAGGATTTACATTCAGGTAAGCGGCCTCCATAGTCTAGGGGTAACGTTCCCACCTCATGACTCAAGGTACGTGGGTTCAAACCTGGCGGAGGTCGTGGAGTTTTTAAGGGCGGAAAAATTCAGGGAACAAGTCTTCCGGGAAGGACTTTAAGCCATGTGTCCTGTGTCGTAGATTTACGGCACGTAAAAGAACCTCGTGTCTCTAGGAGGCCTCTGAGCTAAATTACAGGCACTTTCCTGCCCAAGTAGTTTCCTCTGGTAGATGGGGGAAACATCAAGGTACCAAGGGCCGACCTCTTTGGCTCAACGGGGCTGATGGCGCACCCTGTTATTGGTAGGGTATGGCGACAGTAGAAATTAAAGGGGAAGCACAATGGACCAATAACTGGTCTAAGTGCATGGGGAAACCCACCCCCTATAATAATACAAATACGAATACATTCAGGTATTTTACTCCTTCATAAAGTAGAGTGGATCTTAAGTAAATGAACAGTATTAACTTGTTCCAACGTTTTGTTGGTAATGTATTGTAATGGATTTGAGCAACATGTTACCAGGCAACAGCTCTGTAAACAGAGTCCAACATGCAACAATAGAGGAAGCTGTGTTTTCAGTAGATCCAACTGACGTGCCAATAGACTGGCTGCATGGCGATCACGTGATATGTGTTTACTGTAGGTCCATGTCCGCTCCTCGGCTGCATAAGTAAGAGTGACAGAATTCGCTCAAGGCACTTATGAGTCTTTATTTCTGAGTTTATTGTGTACCATAAAGAGTAATTAATTATGGTACATTTTAAGAAATACAAGGAAATGCGTCGTGTAGTTACATTTTCTGTTTCCTTTTCAGATGATGGTATTGTGCTGCATGGTGGACCCATCACAGATTTTAGACCTCGATCTCCATCTCCACCACCTCGAACTTCTGCTCCACCTAATTTAGAACCACTCGCCAATCATGTGATACATTACAACAATTTTTCTCCTCCATTGAGTCCTGCAATGGGTAATCATACTGAGGGTGAAGATCGAAGGCTGGCCATGGTTCTCACGGAAATCAGTGGTAACCATGTTGTTGGTGGAAACCAAGCAAACGTGGCAGCAGTGGGTGCTATATCTACGAACAGTGAACTTAATAAACGGGAAATTGCAGAGATAAGAAAACACAATCTTCATGTAAGAATGTTGGTGTACAGGGAAGTCCGACGACCAGGAAAGAGTAAGTATGCACTGCATTGGTTTTACCTCAAAACTGATGGCAATTTATTATATACATAATATTACATGATTGTGATCTTCTGGGTTGTGATACCATGTAGTGTTGTACTTGGGTACCAGCATTTTGGAAAAATGTGGTGCCTTAGTCTTCAGGGTAGAGGGTGTAAGGTGATGAATTTACATAATGATGATAAAGGTGGTGTCACTCAGATCCATAGGAAGAGGTAAGGAAAGAGCCCTGTTCAGGCCAGTGGATACAGTAGTAGGAAAATCACCCCTTAAGGTTATGGTATTGTTTTTCATCACAAGAGGGAAATGGAATTGTGAGAAAAGGCCATTTTCTTACTCCATCCCATGGGTCCGAGTGATCCTTTGCAACTTGCCTATGTAAGCCAGCCAGTTCCTCACTCTGCACTCTTGACACTGCAGAAAGTCAGTATTCTGGTACAAGACTATGTGTTGTCAAACACAGAAGAGCATAAACTTGACAATTGCTGCTTTAAAAACCTAAGGACTTAACAAGAATTGTAGTTTCAAGGGAAATTTGCAGTTAATTAAGATTCACTCAAAAATTGGAGAGAAAGTCAGGAGCCTAAAAGTATGGGAAACCTTGAATTGTTATTACATTACACCGCATACCCCTGTTTTGCTACAGTTCAGTATCTGTATGAGAATTTATGAGAAGGGCAATAATGTCTACTGGAGCAGGGGTCCATAGAAATTCTGACAGAAGGTAAGTCTGTAGTATTCATTGAACTAGAGCTATTCAGAACGTATCCTCTGCTGAGATGTTAACAAAACAAGCAATAAGAAAGAAATTTATACAAGAAATATGTATATACTTAAGCTGCTTCTCAACATAGTCACCGCCGAAATTGAGGCACTTATCAGGGAATAAGTTTTTGTATGCCTGTGTCATAGAAGTCTGCCGCCTGTGAGCTCAGCTGTGTTTTGACACCTACCATCAACTCATTATTGTTGAAGTGGTGTGATCCCAACCAGTTCCTCAGGTATGTAAACAGATGGTGGTCGGCTCAGAGCGAGATCAGGGCTGAAAGGAGGGTGGTCACACAACTCCCAGTTGAAATGCTGCAGCAGTGCTCAAATGTGAGCCACTGTATGCAGGCACTTAATCGTCATGGAGGAGCACTAAACCAGATGTCAGTGTATCTCACAATACACTTCTGACATTGTGGTCCCTTGTTGCAAGAATTCCACCATCAGCACTACTCTTCTGTCCCAGAAAACAGTTGCTGTCAGCTTTCTGGCAGATGTTTAAATATTTTTGTCATGTTTGGTGAATGTGCGTGCATCCACTGCTTTGGCTGCTTTTTGGTTTCAACATTCATGAATGAAATCCAGGTTTTCTAACCTGTTACTCATATGACGTGATTGAGAAATTTATTGCCATATTTGTGTTATCACTCTAAAACAAAGCTGAAGCCATTCTCTGTATTTTGTGTGCACTCATCAGCATTTTCAGAACCCATCTTCAGCAAAACTTGAGATAGCCTAGCCTAACTGATAATATCATAGAGCAGAATGCTTGAAATTTGTGGAAATTCACACAGAAGTTAAGTTCTGAAATTGTGAAGCGCTATCTTTCACAAATTTTTTGATCAGCACTTTGAGCAGGATCTCATCACTACGGGTGACTGACCAAACACTTTGCCCCTCTTCATGAACATTTGTTTGCCTATCTTTGAACATTCTACACCATTGTCTTAAAGTGCCTTCACTCATTATAGTTTGGCCATAAACCGCACATAATTCACGATGGATTTCCTCAGCATTCATGATTTTAGCGTGAAGAAAGTGGATAACAGCACAAATTTTGCAGTTGGCGGTATTGTAAATCGCTGAACACATCATAACTCGCTCTGTAGAGCAAAGAACAAACGTTAGTTGTCCAGTTGTATGATCGTTTACATGGCAATGAGTCATGTGATCCAACCTCCCCCACTCCTACATTAGTTGCCTAAAATGAACAGAGGTTACTTTCTGAATGGCCCATAGATCATCCATTTTCTTCTTAATGAATTGATGTAGATCAGTGGTGCCCAACTGCAGAAGACCCTCTACATATTCAGACCACAGTGTTTTGTTTCCCCTTTCCTATTTTGACTTTGGTCAGAGCTTGTAAACTGGCCAACTTTATTTGTGATGTTATATCTAAAATGTTCTTAAGTCACTTAGTAAACTAAGATGTTATGCTTTTATTTATTTGAATATGAAGCAGATACTTCTGCACTTGTGGATTTTTATGTACTTTCTTGAATAGTGTTTTCTAAACATAAAAGCAAATTAAATAGAGAACCAAAGAGGTCTGTTTAGCTATAATGCTCTAGATTTGTATTTTAAAGGTGTTCAGTTTGAATATCAGCTGGGACACTGACTATCCTGGCAGAGGTTTTTTTATGGTTTCCCTCAGTTACTGCAAGCAAATGCTAGGATAGTGCATCAGTTGGGTCATGAATGCGTCCCTACACGTCTTTTTCAAGTTCATGTTCAGTCCTACAGTTTGGTGCTATATAGTCTAGATACTGACAGCATCATAAAATAAACCACAAACTAATTAAATAGAACAAGAAATTCTAGGAAATAGTGTGTGCTCTCAAATATTTCCTCCTTTTTTGGATAGATAGGCCAGCAAAACTCGACAGATGAATAACTCTGCAATTTGGTAATGTGTCTTTGTCAAAATTTCCACTACTTGATAATTTCATGCCATTATCGTGCTTTGACTTTCAACACACAAAATGTGTCGGTATATTTATTTTGAACATCTAGTTTCCAATCCAATTGGCTCATCAGTTCTTGCTGTGAAGCAGAAATGAATGTAAATTATATTCAGCATATTGTATGTAATGGACTCCAGGGAGCTGAGTCCTTCAGAAGCCATCAGTTGCTCAGGTACTCTAGAATTTCCTAACATTTTACAGAACCTGAAAGTTGATTACCATGTTCACAAAAGCCTGCCACTGGCTCCTATCCTGAGCCAGATTAATGCAATCTCCCCATCATCTTTCTTTAAGATCCATTTTAACATATTGTTTTTTTATTGTTGGTGGGGTGGGATGAAGTCCCTTGTGCTGCGGCCACTTCTGGCTTATTGTACCAGCCCCAGATGATAGGTGAGGGTGATTGTGGAGCAATTGGTGGTATGAAGATTGGCAGTGGAAACCGAAGTACTTGGAGAAAACCTGCCCCAGCGCCACTTTGTCCGCCACAAATCCCACTTGACGAGACCCGTAATCGAACCCGGACTGCCGTGATAGGAAGCCAGCAACTAACTGCTTGAGCTATGGCACTGTCATTTTAAGTCATTTTAATATTATCTTTCCACCTACAGCTGTGTCTTTCTAGTGGTCTCCTTGTTGATTTCCCACCAAAATCCTGTATTCATTCCTTTCCCCCCCTCATTCTTGCTACATGCACTGCCCATGTCATTTTTCCTTGACTTGATCATTCTAATCATATTTGACAAAGGGTACAAGTAATGAAGCTTCTCATTATGCAATTTTCTCCAACTTCCACTTCATCCCTCTTCAGTCCAAATATTGTCAACACCCTCTTTTCAAACACCCTCACTCTGTGTTCCTCCCTTGATGTCAAAAACAAGTTTCACACCCATATAAAACCACAGGCAAAGTTATGGTTATTTTAATTTCTACATTCTTAGACATGCAAGAAGACAAGGTTGTAAACTGAATAGTAAGAAGCATTACTTGGTATTTATTTCCCCATGAATTAAATAATTGCAACTCTTCCCAAATATGTGAGCTTTGCCACAGTTTCGAAGAATTGTCTTTATGTTATGATTTTTCACCACATTCTGGTAGTGAAACATCAACATATGCTGGGTTTTCTCTGGATTTACTTCTAGATCAACCAATTTACTATCATCAGAATTGTTGTTTTGTTCTGTGTGGTGATGTTAAACCCCAATATATTTACGGTATCAGCATAAACCAGAAGCTGATGTGTCCCATTCAGTTTCGGTCCCACATATTTTACTTTGTACACAAAAAGGGTCTTAATAAATATTGCATGTTTTTAAAAGGTTTGTTATAAAATTTGAAGACTGTATACAGAATAGTTATGATGTTTTTCATGTGATGGCCATGTTGTTATTGATAGAAAATGAGAATAAGGTGGCCTCCAGTGACATGATGTCTGTATTGAATGCCATGAAAATCAGTCTGAAGTTGTTAGCACATGTCACACGTAGACCCCCACATGGGACATGACCTCAATTTTCACTTACCTTGTAATACAAGGAAAATTAGCTAATAGAGTTAGTCATTATAGTGCTATTTCTGAGTCAAATGATGTTTACTCAAAACTTTCGTTCTACTGAAGTGTTGCTGAGAATGTATGTTACTGATGGCCCAGAATATTTTAAATATTTTCTCGTAAAGAATATTATACTGACGCTTATTGAAAGCCTTTTACTTCACATATTTTCCAGTATATGAGAACCCCCCCCCCTACTTCCATCTTTTTATGCCATAGGTTTGCAGTGTAGAGGTCCTGAAATAATGCTGAGTCTGATAAGGCTAAACTCTTCTTATATTTCATATGTTGTGGAAAGCAATGGCACACATGAAATAGAGCAGAAAGCTAATGTTGAAATTATCAAATAAGTGGGTGATAATATTTATTACTGGTATTCTCAGAAGTATTTTTGTACTTTTTGGCTTATGTTCCCATTATGGTACAGGTAAATATTAAATTAAGTGACTGGACATTCATATGGTATTCTCCTTTTCCTATTCTTAGACCTCTCATTTTATGGATACACCTCTGATTCAAAATCGTCTTTTATTATAGTACTTGCAGATTGAGGTTCTATTTTATTGAAATTTTATATTTACAAAGACAATTGGCATGTGATATATTCACTCCTTTCACTTCCTTTAAACCACTGTGTAATTTCTTACTCATTCTCCCTTTAATTGATTTTAAATTTATACTTTTTAGATTTTGCGCCTCTGTTTGCTCACCTTCAGAATATTAAAGGATGTCTGGATGTGCGAGTAACATTGCTCAAAGAAATCATTCATGAATCATTACGATTCAAGCGTCGTTATTTGGCTGGTTTGTTGGAAGACTTTCTGCGAAGTATGATATCATCAACCAGCGACAGTTATAGTGTTGTTAACAATCATCGCCCTCCAAGTAATAATGGAGCAACACGGTTAACTTAGTGTGACTTGTAACTAAACTGCAATAAAATTGCTTTGTGTGAACTAGTACACACATACCATAGGTAGAACTCTTATAGTCACTGCTGTAAGAACTCCAGATCCAACCTGTAAAAACTTGTTTATTGCTAAAAGTGTGAACAATTGTACATAGTTTTGTAGGACTGCAGGCACAATTTCTCTTGGACTTAGTCACAAACGTTCATAGGTTAATGTTAATTTATATGGAAACAGATAACCTATGATAAATGAAATTTATGTTTGCTGGTTCCAAAGGGTTCTGAGTTGTTACAAACACCATTGTTTACTAGCAGCATTAATTTTGAAATGAGATAGTAATGGTGTCTCATTAACGGTTGTCGTGTTCTTTTTATTTAAAATTTTAATATTCCTAGTATGTTATCTCTGTTTCAACTTTTAATAATATTTCCATGCAGTCACTTTTACGCTGGAAATGTCTAGGCAGGACACTGGACTTGCAGTGAGGATCCTTCATTTGATCACTGGTCAGATTAGCATACAGATTTAACTGTGCACAAAACTAAACCTTCATGCCTGAACCAGTCAAAATATATGAGCTGGGAGAGCTCAGTTGGTATGGCTGTGGGCTGGAGGACAGAGGAGCCAGAGTTTGAGTCCCGGTGAGGCAAGAATTTTCACCTCTTCATGTCATCCAGACCAGCTCTAGGGTCCTCCCAACCTTCTACCCAGTGGGCACCAGGGCCTCTTTCCTCAGGTGTAAAGCAGCTGGGCCGTGAAGCTGACCACTCGCCTCCAACTAGTGCCGAGGTAAAGAAAATGTGGATCTGTACAGCCACTTCCGATACACCTTCATGGTGTAGTGCTTAATTAGTTAAGCACAGGGAAAACTTCATCTTTTTTACCTTTACCAGCCAAAGGATTGGGTGAATACCAGACCCCCACCACAGTTTTGTATCCATTTTGAGCTGTAGATCCATTCTGCCCATTTTCATTTGATCAATTTGTCTCACCACTTCGTTCACCTCAGAATGAACTCGTTCACCTCTGTGGGGCAGGCAAATATCAGGAAGGTTGATAGGGCCATAACTGAAGGAGTTCAACCAATATATTTGCTTTGTTTTCCCAATGTAATGTTCTATTTTTCTCAGGTTATCTGTTTTAGATATTACATGGATGAACTGGAATGCAATAACATAATATCATAATGTGTATATGCAGGTATTTGCATTTAGAGAGAAAGAAATTATTTTTAGTTTCAAATTTCAGTTCACTTCCAAGTTCATGTAAGGTCTTGTCATACATATTTGATAATAAAAATAATTTATTGCTGTTTATGTAATACACATTCATTGATAACATCTGTACACACAAATCATGAATTGAGCCTTATCACATCCTTTGTTTTGTGTGTTAAATTGCAGCATATTGTGGCAACAAAATTCTATTCCAGGTAAAGTGTTGCAGTACTTGTTTCTGTGTTCACTGTCAAGTTGTAACATTTCTGGCTTAGAATATCAGCCCAAGTACCTACTTCATATTTAGGACATGCAGTTTTAAAGTTAAATTTAATTTAAAGAGAACTGATTAGAATTAATGCTGGCTGATCCAGATGATTGAATGGCCAGATATACAATGTGCTAGATCAGTTTTATTTATGAGTAACCTAATTCCCATCCAATATTGTGTATGTAAAATAGCATCCAAAAATCATGTGCCTATTAAGAAATAAAGTGACTTGTGTACTGAGAGATTATGAAGGATTTGGTGGAAAGTGGCTTATGTGGTCTTTATTTGCATGTTTTGAAGATGTAACAGGATATATTACAGACAATTTGAGTTTAACATGAGAGATGTGACAAAGTAATGAGTGACTGTGTGCCTTGCAGTATTATAACGAAGAGTGGTCGGTTTAATGCATGACACTCTGTCAGTACTTTTGGAGGTGATTGTGGGCATTGAAGGATTGTTAGAAAGGCAAGCTTTGAGCGTTTGCAAAAGTTTGGATTAAATTTCCCTTCAAAAAGGACTGCTGCCTTATTATAATATTAAAGCCCGGTTTTTTTTTTTTTTGTTTTGTTTTACTGCATTCGAGTGATGCGTGAAGAAAAACAGGTCACAGATAATGGTTACATATTTATCAAACTAGTTATATATTTGGAATTGAGGAAACGGGAAGTTTAAACCGTTTAGACAACGGTGGGTTGGTGATCCATGGCTTGAGTATTGCCAACATCAGTAGTGTAGAAAGAGGGTGTTTTAATGTCGGAATGTATAATATGTCTTCGAAGAATTCTGCCTGTGATGACGAAGATGAGTGGTTTTACGATTCTATCAAGAGGTAAGATTAGTGATGTGATAATGCGTACAAAAATGTTAAAACGCGTCCCGTTGTGAGCCACATAACCTTAAAAAGTAATCTCGTATCTGGACGTTAAGTACTGTGATTGTGATGTTATATAAGGTGCTCAAATTCAAAGTAGGTTCACTGACCCGGAGAAGGCATATGTTTCGCTACACTGTTGGAATTGTGTATTTTAGCTTTATATTCAGAACTTGCTTGTCACATTTGTTGGGCTGCTTGCTTTCGCCCACCAATGGGAGTTGGTTTTTTATTTAAAGAAGTGGAGATGGGTTGTATTACGCGTTTCAACCCTGTTACCGGTGCTCTGGCCTCCGCCGAGGTTTGCCCGAATTGTGTTTTCAGTCATATCAAGTGGGATGTAATGGGACAGCGTTAGTGCCTGGAAATAGTGTCTGCTCACATTTGAGTGTTCTGTGTTGAAATTATGACTTTTGCCCTTTCTGATGCCTTAGGTCAATGGCTCCCAAAACCAAGGCCTCAGTGCATGAGAAAAAGAATAATTTTTTTAATGTCCATAGGCATCCATCAGAACCACAAATCCTAATTTGCCAAGAAGATCAAATTGTTAAATTTCGACATTTGTGATCATTTTCCATCACCAAATAAGGAGAACGGTTCAGCATTTTTGTATTACAAATTTGAATTGTTTACTCACAATTTTTTGTACAGGATGCAAAGGCCCCAATGCAAGAGATTTTTCTTCTTTTCATTTATGAAACCTCACTATATAGCATTTCATTATCCACTAGCTTGTCTTTAGTATCAGTTGTAGTGATGCATCTTTTTTTATTTCACACATTGTTTAAGAAGTGAGAAATTTTTACATCATACACATATTTTGATGCTAAACTGTCATGGGACAGTAGGATCCCATACAAAAGTTACAGACACGTGTAGGGGGTGTAGCAATAAATACTCGTGTATGTCATGCAGTGGTGGCGTGTAGTGCCAACCTGGTTTCAAGCCAATTTTTTAATTCAGCCTGAAACTGAAAGTGACTTAGGTTGTGCTGCTTCATCCTTCAAAGCTAGGTTTTTTGGTTGTGAGGTGAAACAGTACTTTCTGTCTGACAAAATTTGCCTGATCAGTGGAAGGATTCTGTTATTGTACCAGTTCACAAGAAGGGTGATGAAACTGACTGTAGTAATCATCAGGGGATATCACTGCTATCAACTTCATATAAAATTTTGTCCAATATTCTTCTTTCAAGGTTAAGTCCATATACAGATGAAATTATTGGGGATCATCAGTGTGGGTTTCGATGTAACAGATCAACTACAGATGAGATCTTTTGCATTCGTCAGATATTGGAGAAAAAATGGGGATTCAGCTATTCATAGACTTCAAGAAAGCCTACGATTCGGTTAGGAGGGAAGTATTGTACAGTATTCTAATAGAGTTTGGGATGCCTATGAAACTAGTTAGGTTGATTAAAATGTGTTTAAATGAAACGTATAGTAAAGTCTGTGTAGGTAAACGTTTGTCTGATAAATTTCCTATCCAGAATGGTTTAAAACAAGGAGATGCTTTATCCCCACTCCTTTTCAACTTTGCCTTAGAATATGCAATTAGGAAGGTCCAGGGAAACTAGGTGGGACTGAAATTAAACAGGACACATCAGCTGTTGGTCTACGCTGATATGTGAATCTATTGGATGATAATGTAGATACCATAAAGAAAGACACACAAACTTTAATTGACGCAAGTAAAGAGGTTGGCTTAGAAGTAAACACAGAGAAAACTAAGTATATGTTGCTGCCTTGTCACCAAAATGCAGGGCAAAATCATGACATAAAGATAGGAAACAGATCCTTCGAAAATGTGGCACAGTTCAGATATTTGGGAACAACAATAACAGATCGAAACCTGATTCAGGAGGAAATTAAGAGGTGATTGAACTTGGGTAATGCTTGCTACCATTCATTCCAGAACCTTTTGTCTTCGCGTCATCCAAAAACCTAAAAATTAGAATATACAAAACTATAATTTTGCCTGTGGTTCTGTATGGTGTGAAACTTGGTCTCTGACATTAAGGGAGGAACATAGACTGAGGGTGTTTGAGAACAGGGTGTTGAGGAGAATATTTGGACCGAAGAGGGATGAAGTGACAGGAGGTTGGAGAAAACTGCATAATGAGGAACTTCATAACTTGTACTCTTCTCCAAGTATAATTAGAATGATCAGGTGAAGGAGGATGAGGTGGGCAGGTCATGTAGCACGAATGGGGGTGACGAGGAATGCGTATAGGATATTGGTGGGAAAGCCAGAAGGAAAGAGACCACAGGGAAGACCAAGTAGGTGGGTGGACAATATCAGAATAGATCTTAGAGAGATAGGATGGGGTGGTATGGATTGGATAGGTCTGGCTCAGGATAGGGACCGGTGGAGGGCACTTGTGAACACGGTGATGAACCTTTGGGTTCCATAAAATGCTTGGAAATTCTTGAGTAGCTGCAGAATTGGCGGCTCCTCCAGAAGGGCTCAGCTTCATGAGTAAGTAAGTAACTTTTATTCACTTAAAAGTTTCTTTTTATCTTCAGCAATAAGTGACTGAAAGTCATTCATTTAACACTTAGCTGCAGTATGGTGTATCACTCTGTTGCTCATAGTTTATTCAAGTTTTTAATTTATGAAATGATATCAATTTGAAGTATTTTTGTGATATACTATGTTGTAATTGGTGATCATATTATATACACTGGCATTATTTTTGTTCACTTGGATATTGTTATGAAAATAAAGTGTAATAATTTTATGCATATTTTTCAATCTCCTTCATATACAATAGATATGTTGGTAAAATTAATATGATTTAGTTGGTCATGACCAATAATATAAATAGAAATTGAAAAGGGTTACACATATTCCAGTCAGAAACTGGGGGAGGTGCCAGAGAGCTTGAGGAAAACCAAAATTGTGACATTGTGTTAAAAAGAGTAGGAACCTTTATCTTACATAAATTACACCACAGAGGTGTGCAGCTGTGATGAACGTCTCCTAACAATATAACAGTTGGATTGATTTATTTTTTATTCATTCATTATGTACATTCCATTGAGCCATACATGGCTGGAAGACCAGTGGACATAGAAATAGTCAATTACAACAAGACAAGTCACATCAGTTACATAAATACAAATTAATTATACTTAATTCATCACAATTACACATGTTATCCGAGACAAATCACAATGAGTAAATCATTAAACGGTTATAAATTATATATGTAAAACCATATAACGTATTAATATCAAAAAAGACTACAATAATGAAACATAAAATATACTACTACCTCTCTAGCGTATAATAGACCAAGATTGTTAATTAATATTGAAGTTAAAATTTTCTTCCCATGGGTAAAATTAATTTAAAAGTAGAACTCTTTTTAAAGCAAATCTAAATTGTTTCATGCAATGAGCTAAGTTCTTTATACTAGAAGGAAGATTGTTAAAAACCTTGATTCCAAAATAATATGTTCCTTTTTTAAATACTGTTAAATTGTATATTGGATAATGTAAATTGTTATTGTGTCTTGTATTAATGCTGTGAATCTCAGAGTTAGATTTAAGTTCTCTGTTTTTAACAATAAATAACAGGAGAGAAAATATATACTGTGATTGGAGGGGCACAATTTTCAGCTTCTTAAACAATTCCCTGCAGGAGTCTTTACTTTAAGAATTAGTAATAATTCTAATTACCCTTTTCTGTGGCTTAAAAATATGAATACTGTGGGGAGAATTGCCACAGGAGATTATACCATAAGTCATAAGGGAATGAAAATATGAGAAAAAATCTTTCTTATTGTTTCCTGTGACATTTAAGGTTTAACAGGCCTATTGCGTAACAGGTCAAACCTAATTTAGACATAAGCCAGTCAACATGTCCTTTCCATGACAACAAATTGTCAATAATTAATTCAAGAAATTTGGTATTAGTAGATTTAGCAATCTGATTGTTACTATAGTCAATATTCTTATCCATTGCATAGCTATTCTTAGTGAAAAATTGTATAAAATATGTTTTATCGAAGTTTAGTGTCAATAAATTAGCTTTAAACCAATCGTTTATGTATTTAAATATTTGAATAATGTAGAATGCATAGAGGATATTGGTGGGAAAGCCAGAAGGAAAGAGACCATTGGGAAGACCAAGGCGTGGGTGAGTGGATAATATTAAAATGGATCTTAGAGAGAGAGAGAGAGAGGCTGGGATGGTATAGATTGGATTGATCTGGCTCAGGATAGGGACCAGTGAAGGGCTTTTGTGAACACAGTAATGGACCTTGGGTTTCATAAAATGCTGGGAAATTCTTGAATAGCTGCACAATTTGCAGCTTCTCAAGAAGGGCTCAGCTCCATGAGTGATGAGTGATTCTGTTGTTCTAGTAATTTCTAGTTAACATTTCAAATCAGAGTGATTTGTCACAGGTTGATATACCCAAGACCGTAGAATAATGTGTGTGCTGTAAATTTTGTGAGCAGTAAGACAACTGGAACTTACAATAATGGAGAAAGCATTTGAAAATACAACAATGAGCTAAGTGCAAATTTATGAGTGGTTCAGGCATTTTAAACAGGGATGGATGCCTGTCAGAAGTGACTATCCTGGAAGCTGTTAAGCTTTTATTTAAAAATGACAGAAGGTTGACTGTTCATGAATTGGTTGAAGAGATTGGATTTTTTTATGGTTCTTACCACGCCATTTTTACCAAACATTTGCTAGTGTTGGTATTGATGTGTTTTTTGGCTCAGTTTAGCAAATTCACCTTCATTGGCTGTGTGTTGTGCAGTCCAACTGGACAAACATTTCATTTTTCCAATGTTAATACCATTAGCTCTCTACCCTAAAGAAGTATGGTCACCTGACCTATAGATGTTAGGATTTTAAATTTCCTGTTCTTTGACAATAACCTGGTACCCCCAGATTAAAACGTGGCTGCCATCTCCTATAGTACTGGGAGGGTTAAGAACGTATTTGCAGATATAGATCCACACATTCTTGACCTCAGCACTAGTTGGAGGTAAGTGGTGAGCTTCACGCTTCAGCGTATTTGGCTCTGGAGGAAGACCCCACTGGTACCCATTGGATAGGAGACTGGGTGGGCCACAGGACCGGTCTGTATGATGTGGAGAAGAGAAAAATCTTGTCCCCACTGGACTCAACCTTTTTACTTCAGATGTGAAGGTTAAGTTACAAACTGGATTTGACTTTCACCATTGTATCACCTTCAGGAAGCACTGCCTTTTGATACATTTTCACAGTTGTACAATAATGAGACTACATTCTATAAATAAGTTAATTATCCCTGCATGCAAATTATTCTGTATATTGTACGTAGGTAGACTGAAAAGTAATGCACACATGCTTGTAGAGCGCGAACGAAATGACTTTCAGAAGCGCGCCAGTGACATGTGGAAGTAACATTCCCCCTCAATACGCATGCGCAGGTTTGAGATCGTTGCGTTCATCCAGTGTATTTCGAGAAGTGGAAGTATGGAGACGTGTTCTAATGCTGTGTCAACGCGAGTTAAACAGCGTGCTGTTATCGAATTTTTAACTGCTGAAAAAGTGACTCTTACTGAGGTTCATCGTCGTTTAAAGGCTGTTTATGGTGACGATGCTGTTGATAGTCTACTGTAAATCGATGGGTAATAAAATTTAATGGTTGCGAGCCTGGAAAAGCCATAATTGTTGATGAAACTCGCAGCGGACGTCCCATCACTGCCGCAGACGATAATCATCACAAACTCGTCGACGATTTGATTCAAAATGACCAGCGAATCACTCAAAAGCGTATCGCAAACCATATTGGAATATCCAAGGAACGTGTCGGCTTCATTATTGAATAATTGGGATACTGTAAAATCTGTGCACGATGGGTACCACGCCGTCTCACAGACAAGAACAAACAGCGTCGATTGGAATGCTGCGAGCAACTTTTGCAGCGCTACCGTGATGAAGGAGACGACTTTCTTTTGAATATTGTGACGGGGGACGAGTCATGGGTCCATCGTTACGACCCGGAAGAGAAAAGACAGAGCGCTGAATATCGACATCCGTCTTCTCCTCAGGCGAAAAAGTTCAAAACAACCATCCGCCAAAAAACTTCTTTTGACTATGTTTTGGGATACTCACCGAGTTTATGTGACCGATTTTCTGGAACGAGGGGCAACGGTAAATTATTCTCAGTACATACAGACTCTAAAACACCTCCGGCATCGAGTTTGTCGTGTTAGAGGCAGCCTGGCGCCAATAATCTTGCAACATGACAACGCTCGTCCACACACACCTCGCGCGCAACTGAAGAGGCTCTGCGAAACCTGAAGTTTGAACCGATTCCACACCCTCCTTATTCCCCCGATCTTGTGCCTTGCGATTTTTTTTTTGCTCTACTCAAGAGAGAGACCTCAAGGGTAATCATTACACCTCGGACGATGAGGTGAAGGCAGCTGTCAAGTCCTGGATTCGAGAAAAGTCGTAAGAATTTTTCAGTGACGGAATGAAAAAACTTGTTACACGTTGGGAGAAATGTGTTAGCCTTAACGGTGACTATGTTGAAAAATAAATATATATGCTTTTGAAACTTAAGAATTGTACTTTAATGTACTTTTTGCCCGATCTTGCTATTTGTTTTTGTTCGCGCTCTACAAGCACATGTGCATTACTTTTCAGCCTACCCACATATGTAAGAGTCAAAATGTTTATGAACTTCTGCTGCTCTAAGCTTACCTGTCATAATTTTGCTGCCTTCAAAGTAGTTCCCTTCTGCTCTCACTACTGTTTCTGTTAGTGGTTATAGTACTTTTGAAAGCACTGCCACAGACCTTTACATCTGATCTTTCCAGATGCCACTGTCCTAGCATCTTTCATCTTGTTAATTGGAACCACTGTACAGTCGAGAAGGCTTTCGTTTTTGGGAATGAGTATTAATTGACGGGTTAGTTCTGAAGAGCAATGGGATTGTGGAAGCATAGTTATGCCATTCTTGATCAGATATTCCTGTACCATGGCATGCTGAGGCATTGTTATGGGGAAGCAGACAGTTTTCAGATTTACAGAGATGTTGGTATTTATGGCAGGTAGCTCTTCACAGACGGCAAAATAAAAGGGTAAAACTGTCCTTGTAACAGTCCATGAAGGCCCATAGGGTTGTGCGACATCGAGGCTCCCACATTTTCTGGACAATCGGCTCATGGATGGTGGCGAGGTTGTCAGCTTTACATGCTTGCTGCGCTTTACCCCCAGGGCAATTGTTGGTACTCATTTCTGTTAGATGCTGAGTTGACCCCAGAGCCATAGTGTGGCTGAAAGGATTAGGTTAATTGAAAAATTCAATGACCTCTTTAGGAATTGAACCCGCGACCTTCTGGGTTGTAGCATGATGCCTCAACCAACTAATCCACCACGTGCTACCTCCACAGATGACAAAGAATGACTTGTCATTACTCTCAAACACTTTGAGCATCACTTGCTATTTTTATTCCATGGCTTTCAGTATAGGATTTGGTATTTATTTTGTGGCTGAGAAAGATAGCGCCATATTTCATTTCCAGTTATAACCTGTTTTGAATATCTTGCTCACTCATACACAAAACTTAATTTTATGTCATGTTCTGCAAAGAAGAATTCAAGATTGAATAAACTGTGAGGGGCCTTACATGTTCCATGAATACTGAATGAATGTATGTGTCAGAAAAGTCAATTCCATTGCTCTTCATACATATCCACACATGATCAGTCGTGGAGACCCTCACAGGTACTGCCTAATTAAGTGGTTGTTGAAAAGTTGACAGTCTTTTTGACTACCACATTTTTGACTGTTGTTTGCAGATACAAACAGTTGCGAATGTTTGATTTTGAGAATGTTATTCATCAGATTGAGCTCACAGATCCAAGGACAATTTGTGTAGTTGGGAAACACAAATCTGGAAGAGATGAGATCCTTGAACTGTCCCTCCCAGAAAAGCTGACTGTGGCTCCCAGTCATGAGGGGCTTGTTAAGAATAGTGACTTACGAATGAAAAGTGGAGGCTTCACAATTGCTCCAGTAATACAGGTGAAGTAGAACAGTGGTGCAGAAGCATCCAGATCACAAATACATATAGTAGTTGCACAGATTTACAGTGAGTGAAATATCAATGAAGTCTGGAAAGTAACTGTTTCCACTTGTCCTTTCTTTCCAGTAATGGATATAGGGAATCAGGGTGTTTATGTTTTTCACACACCACAAAAGATGCTCTCATACACTTCCCTAACATGAAGATCATTCCTTGCTCTCTAATAGGCTTATGTTGGGATATGAATATGTTTAATATAACAAGAAAGACAAGTACACCATTCAGACTGACTTGAAAAAGGCATGTATAGTTTATGCATGAGTCTTGTCTTCTGTTTAGGTGGGTGTGGTGAAATGGATACCAAGGAGACATCAGGTACTTGGTAGGGAGTTCAGTCACAGAAGTGCAGGAGACACTTTCATTTAATAGATGTAGTTATTTTAGTATTCATTTTTCTGAATGTCAGCTTCATGGAAATTCATGAATACTAGATGAAATATGTGTATGCCAAAATGTGTATACAAACCATTAACCCCATATAGGCATTCAGTGTACTCAGTACATCAGAGAGACATTTTATTTTTTTGCTTTTTAAAGACATCCTATAGGGGTTTTGTATGTTCTGAATGACAGAAATCTGAACTTTCTGTTCTTTTTTTCATAATTACTTTTGGCGGTAAAGCAAGTTAAATATCCTGCTTTTCTATCAGTGATAATATCTTCCGTAGCACTGCCAAGTCTTCTGTTTGATGACTTATGGTTCTTCTGTCACACAAAGACCCTTGCAGGTGAATGGAACCAGGCAATATACGTTCTGTAAGAACTGCCACTGATTCTTCTCATCCTTAAGCATGCTCAGTAGATATAGTCAATTTGGGGAGATACTGTTTTGCTATATAAATTAAGGAGTTCTGTTTTGTGCTGCCATCACACTAGATACTAAATAACAAACCTTACAGATATTTAGAATATGTATAATAATACATTATACACCATGTTCCCTGAAAGTATGGTGAAATTTAACAGTTTGAAGTAAAACAGAAATCAGTAATCCTTAATGTAAGAGTTGCATTTAAAAATAGTTTGAATTGTCAATCATTTTTAAGTTTCTTAGTTTGCTATGTTAATTGCATGGTCTGTGAAGTTACAGTATCTCACATATGCAAACTGTTAATAATTTTCAGATGAAAGCTTTATGGAATCAGAGAAAAGTTATTGTCTCTGAGAAAGACCAAATTGGTGCTGCAATATATAACTTGGGTTCTGAAGATTCAGGTATGAAACCAAAATATGTTAAATTAAATTTTTTATAAAGTTATATTAGTTAAGAAATAATGGATTCACAACCTGTGCTTGTTGTTATTCTTCCATGAAGCCTACAAGTTAAATGGTAATGTGAAGTAATTGCACATTCACAAGGCACAAGATATGAAGCGATACAGGCTGTCCTAAGCAACAGACATATTGAAAATATTTTTAAGTCTTTGTGGATTGAACTCACCGCAAACTTACTTCCCAGAAGAACTGGAATTTATGTGTAAGAATATGATGAAACTGGTCCACTTGACCCTTCACTGCCATAACGTGCATTGTATCACATGTCATTGCCCAGTGTACATAACATGCCTAACATGTTTGGTCTTCTGTAGTTATATTTTTTAAAAGTGCTAGTTCTTTTGATAACTATATTATTGTTTGTGTGGGTGTTTCTTTTTAATTCCATCATTGGTTATTTTACATTCAAAATGAAACTGCACCCCCCTGGTTCATATGTGGCTAATCATACCTTCATATTATTTATTGTTTATTTTATCTTTGAAAATTAATTGTGTAGGCTATCATTTGTTGTGTCACTTTAAANCTCACTTACACACACTTTACAGGCATTTTCACTTGCAGTGTCACAATCACTGCTCACAATATTCCGGCGATGGTGGACTCTCTTCTCCGAAGGCTGGCCCGAGACTCTCTTCTCCGGAGGTTTGATGACGACTGACTTCTTCGAATGCTATTCCGAGACTCACTGTTTCTCGCTGAAGCTGGGCTATCTATAACCTTGCCCGCTGTTAGGCAACGAACCCTCCGTTATAACCATAGAGACTCCTGTTAGAATTACAATGGAGCAATTGTTGTCTCCTCTGTAACAGTCTATTGTAGCGTTTCCATAGAAGTTACTCCTCTGGTTTGCCGACACGTTACAATATTCTTCAGCACTGTACTTATCGTTGAAAATTAATTGTGTAGGCTATCATTTGTTGTGTCACTTTAACGTGATGATCATTCTAATTCCTGTGGAAGTGTTGCTAATTAACTTAATGGAAACCAGCGTGCATTGAGACAAAGATCGACTGACATTGGTATTGTACATGTACAGTTCTTTAATTCTAAATGGGGTTTACTGTGCCATATATTATTTTACAGGAGCTTCATAACTTGTACTCTTCATNGTTAGAATTACAATGGAGCAATTGTTGTCTCCTCTGTAACAGTCTATTGTAGCGTTTCCATAGAAGTTACTCCTCTGGTTTGCCGACACGTTACAATATTCTTCAGCACTGTACTTATCGTTGAAAATTAATTGTGTAGGCTATCATTTGTTGTGTCACTTTAACGTGATGATCATTCTAATTCCTGTGGAAGTGTTGCTAATTAACTTAATGGAAACCAGCGTGCATTGAGACAAAGATCGACTGACATTGGTATTGTACATGTACAGTTCTTTAATTCTAAATGGGGTTTACTATGCCATATATTATTTTACAGGAGCTTCATAACTTGTGCGCTTCATCAAGTATAATTAGAATGATCAAGTCAAGGAGGATGAGGTGGGCAGGGCATGTAGCACGAATGGGGGAGATGAATGCGTATAGGATATTGGTGGGAAAGCCAGAACAAAAGGGGCCGCTGGGAAGATCAGNCAATATTCTTCAGCACTGTACTTATCGTTGAAAATTAATTGTGTAGGCTATCATTTGTTGTGTCACTTTAACGTGATGATCATTCTAATTCCTGTGGAAGTGTTGCTAATTAACTTAATGGAAACCAGCGTGCATTGAGACAAAGATCGACTGACATTGGTATTGTACATGTACAGTTCTTTAATTCTAAATGGGGTTTACTATGCCATATATTATTTTACAGGAGCTTCATAACTTGTGCGCTTCATCAAGTATAATTAGAATGATCAAGTCAAGGAGGATGAGGTGGGCAGGGCATGTAGCACGAATGGGGGAGATGAATGCGTATAGGATATTGGTGGGAAAGCCAGAACAAAAGGGGCCGCTGGGAAGATCAGGGTGTGGGTGGGTGGACCATATTAAAATGGATCTTAGAGAGATAGAATGGGATGGTATGTATTGGATTGATCTGGCTTAGGTNGGGGTTTACTATGCCATATATTATTTTACAGGAGCTTCATAACTTGTGCGCTTCATCAAGTATAATTAGAATGATCAAGTCAAGGAGGATGAGGTGGGCAGGGCATGTAGCACGAATGGGGGAGACGAGGAATGCATATAGGATATTGGTGGGAAAGCCAGAACAAAAGGGACCACTGGGAAGACCAAGGTGTGGGTGGGTGGACCATATTAAAATGGATCTTAGAGAGATAGAATGGGATGGTATGTATTGGATTGATCTGGCTTAGGTTAGGGACCAGTGGAGGGCTCTTGTAAACATGGTAATGAACCTACAGGTTCCATAAAATGCTGGGAAATTCTTGAGTAGCTGCAGAATTGGGGGCTCCTCCAGAAGGGCTTAGCTCCATCAGTAAGTAAGTAAGATACCATTTTTATAATCTCCGTGAACATATTTTTGGTCGGTATAAGGCTGATATATACTTTTAGGAGTTAAACTTGACTCAAGTACAATCAACTCTACTTACAAACCATACAATAAATTAGCACTGAACATCATGGTATATTGGTGTAATACTGCATTATATTGAAATGATCCTCTTTCAGGCTTTCAGGTGGAGTATTAGCTGCCATCCTCTTTGAAATTTGTTATGGTTTTACCTGTCTATTGAGACAGATGTCAGGGTAGAACCTTGTGTATGCAATGAACATTTTCTCACATATCCTTCCCAATTACCAGTCATGATATAATGATATGTAAATTGTATTATTTATACAGCATTGTTATATATACAGAGCACTTGAGAAGAATGAATACATACCTGCATTAAGCAAATTACAGGTACTTTGTAGCTAAGTGAGTAACATAAACTGTGTTTACAAGAAAGTCTGCCTTCATCATTTCAGATCTCATCACAAGATTTGGCAGCCTGACTTGTGACTTGGTTACACCACTTATGGCATTAAATAACCAGGAACTTGTTTTATTGACAACAAGGACGAAAAGAGATTTGGTTGCAATAGATCTGACAGTGAATACTATGCTTTATAAATTGTCAGTTGACTCTACAAGTGAAACACAGTGTGGGTTTGAACCATCTTTTGTCTCTGAAAACTTAGCGGCTTTGTGTGAGAGGAACGGTGGAAGCGTTTTCCTGCATGATGTCCGTGCTGGTAAGATGTGTGGAAATTTCTCACCAGGTAAGAAAATGAACTGTACTAGGATTACTTTAACTTTTGTTCTTTAAAACATAACACTTGTTTCAGAACATCTATGTTGTACCATAGCCTAGGAATGGCGGTGCTGTCTTAATGCTCTGCTAGAAGCTAGCACAATATCGTAACTTAGTCCTCATCTGGGGTTTCAACTCCACTCCATCATGCAATAAAATTGAGAGAAAGGGCTACTGTATCTCTTGCTTGCGACATCAGCTGTATTGAGATTTATGTAAAGTTAACTTAAAAATATTTATCACTGATTTTAAGGTCCTCTACTGGCAACTCTTGAATGGACAAAGAAAACTAGAATACACCTTAGTAAGAATATCCAGTTCTGGTTTTGATTCTAACAAAATCCATTTTAAATAAAAGGTTGGAGTGGAAACTACTAGATCAGAATAATTATGTAGTTATATTTACCATGAATCTTATTGGGGTTGTCTTTTATTCTAGCCAAACAGAACTTAGGGAACAAAAACATAGTAACTAGAGAACTATGGACAGTGAGCACTGGCTACATCAATAAGACAAGTTCGTCTTCTGCAAATGGTGAAAACAGTAATCCAAAACTTGGCCTATTATCAGCTATGGGCAAGCTCTTAATATATGACATAAGGAATACTGATATTGCCATGTGTGAATCAGACATTGGAAAATTTATTGATATTGCATCTCGTGCAGAAAATGCTAATGGTCGACTGCCAGTTATGAACTTTTCTCCTGATGATATGAATCGAGTTTCATTGTCTGGATTTGATGAGAATGTGTACATATATGATGCATCATGTACTGAAACATTTAAGACAATATTTGTTCATGATGGTCATGTAAGGCAAAGTGATCAGCTAAGCTGTTGTGTAACAAGTCACATGTGGTACAAGGAGAACATTGTTATATCAGCTTCAGATAACTGTTGGCTCCACTGTTGGCAGTTCATTCCTGATGCATTATCATGACTTTTGTTGTTGTTTGTAAATTTTGACATTCATGTTGTTAAAGAAATTGGGCAAAGGATGATATTTCCAATGTGAAAAGTGTTACGACAGAACTTATGAATGTTGAGTATATAGAACTGCTTCTATGGTTTGTAGTCCATGTTACACTGTAAGCCAGTGTGGCTGGTTGGAATTATTTTGAAAAGAATACATAAAGGATTTGAGCCATTGACATTGCAGTACTTTTCAACATGGAAGATGTTTTATACAAAATTGCCTGCTGAAACTGAAATGAAAGATATGAACTTATTTTTCAGTGTTTTTGGATTTGATGGTAGGTTTAATATAATTTATTAATACAATGTGACTAAATAAAAATATAGCTTGCTTATATTAGGAAGGATGCTGGGTCAGATTCTTAGCTATTCCTGATTGAATCGGCCTCTTCCCATGTGATAATGTTAGGGACTGCAAGAGATTGCATATTTGTTACAGCTGTGGACTTAAATTTGAAAGTTGTAAAATAAGTACTGAATCCATGTGGTATTAATCCCAAGATCTTTACTACAGAGGGTAATTGCAGTACCTCAGACCATCAGGTCCATAAATTGTAGGGTGGTGTTTGGAATGCAGATAAGTAATTAATTTTGTAATACTTGTAATTTACATGGTGATATAGAAATTAGTAATTCAACAGTTTTGTCACAATAAATGGCCCAGGGCTGTATGATCTTTGGGGCCAATTGAAAGTGGTCATTTTTGTTCTTGAAGTTCTGGATAAACCTCCAATGGCTTTTTACCTCCAGATCCTGCATGTATTGTCCTTGGAAGCTGTGATGATAATATCTCCATTGTAACTGAATGCACATGAAAATACGTCATCTGTGTGTCCCTCAAGTATCTGGATGCATTGGCCTGTGTCTGTATTCCACAGTCTAGCTGTTCTGTCTAATGATGCTGTCAGAAGCTGAGCCCCTGCAGGACTGAAACAGACCTGTTAGATTGATAATAATAGAAGCTGCACTGTGAGATGTTACATGGCTTTAGTTTACTTAGTTGTTTGAAGGTGGATCTCAAGTGTATTCTGTGACATGCATTTGATACTTATTTAACTCATATAATAACATGTTTTTAATTCTAAAGTATAATATTTTTAATGCTGCAACAGAATAGATTTCACTTTTTATTTTCAACTTCAGCATTTCAGATATGTAAACATAAACAAATAGAAAGGTAAAGTTGCTATAAAGATGTATTTGGTAATTTAACAGAGCTTTATCAACTTTATGGGGTATGAAGTGCCAGATAGTGATATGGTTGTATGAATGATGAAATGGAAAGTAAGTGGAAGAAGCTTGGTGAACCTATTTTAAGGTCATAAAACATTCTTCTGGAGTAACCATGGAAAACCATTAATAATCTTGATCATGATAGCTGTCTGTGTGCTGAGACCTGAGTACAAAGCAGTTGTACTGATCACTTGCCTATGACAGTGCCTGTGACATTCAGCGCAGCAGAGGAAGTGAAGATAAAGCATCATTCATTCTTAATTTTGTTGCTAGAGGTCAGTGGTGGCTTTGCACTCTATAACCACTTTAATTCCAGGAAAGAGCTGTTGTCACCTGTTGTACATGAGCTTGATGGCCTTCAAGTTAGTCTCGATTTGATGATTAAAGAGAAATATCCCCCCCCCCTTCCAGGAATTAACCTTTGGTTGTCTAGCTATAATAATTGCTTTACTGAATGATTTATCCCAACCCATGCTATATAATGTAATGTAATGTATGTAAGGGGTGGGCCATAAAAACCGGCCCCTGCATTGCAACCTTCAATGATCTATTTTGCTTCCCCATAGATTAGCCCTTTATTAATTCTACACTTTTAATAAAGTGTAGTACCCTGCTTATGAGAGCGTCATAAAAGTCACTTGGTTCCATAAATAATTGACCCAAGTGACAAAATCTTACATAAGCTATGGCCTCACAATCACACAGGATGTGTGATGGCTGATTCGTTTTCTTGTAGGCACCTTTCACAAGTTAGGTTATTTGACAGTCCCAGCTTGAAAAGGTGTCCTTTTAGGTGGCAGTGATACCCAGGAGTCATTATGCCGCTGCGTTGGAGGCTCTGGTCATAATGCCATTGCCCTCTATGGGAACTTAGCCGCCAGTCCTGGATGGTCATACTAATCAGACCCCAAGACTGTCATTGCCCAGCAGGACCACGAGGCGGTGTCCCAAAGCTGTGTCCCAATGCATCCCTGGTCCATCCATGATGCGTCCCCCACCAAAGACACGGACGTAGTTCAGCCCACCTCATTGAGGATGGCGTCAAGACTACCTGTAACATGTGCCCTTAAGAAGGTCACAGTTACTCCCGCCCCCATGCTATATAAACAGAGTATTGTATTAATAAAATACAAGTGGTTTAGTTCTTATGCCTGAAACAAAGGAAATATGAAGATATTACCTTGGAGACTTCTTCCCTGTGACCCTCCATTTTAGCCAATAGCTTGAAGTCTGAGTGAACATCCCATATGCATGCAGTAGCATCGCTACTTGCTGTTGACAAGCGATGACCCGTGTAATCAAATGCAATGTCTAGAACCTGCACACAGACATAATGAAAATGCTAGAAAACCATATTTAAAAGCACAAGGCATTGGTAGAGACTCTCTTTTTGTTGAAATATTTCATAAGATTAGATGTATTCACAACAAAGTGAATTTAATTTTTAATGCTTTTTTGAGATATGGGCAAGTTTTTCAGTATGTACTTTGTATTGGAACTAGTACAATTGCAGACCAGAAGTAGGAAATGTGTATTTGAAAGCATTCATGATCAATGTTCATTTATTTTATTTTATTAACATCCATGGATCATTATACACGATATACGTAGGACAAGTCAGATATTTTCTATATACAATACTTGATCATTATAGTAAATTAAAATAATAATAATAATGATAACACTAGTATATTAATTTTAATGCACACACAACACAGCAACACACTGTAATACACTAATCTCACTGTCCTGGCACAAGACAGATTTCAAATTTTGATCTCCCTTAAGTAACCCATGCAAATATTTCCCTGTCTCGTAGTAACCAAATTCATGGAATAAATAATAAGCTAAACAGTAGACATTCTCATGATTTGCACTAATATTCAACAATCTACAAATTAATTATTCTTAAAATATATGGTTACAGATGACAGGTACTAAGGCTTTTCCCTAAACAAGAAAAACTCGTCAATACTATAAAAACAATGATCAAATAGGAATTTTTTCAAAGCATTCTTAAACTTATATAGTACTAGTATCTCTTTAAAATAATGTGGTAGATGATTTAACATACGAAGTCCTATGTTATTAAAGTTGTTTATGCATAGACTAATATTACATGGAACAATAAACAATCATCTTTACTCCTAGTATTATATATATACGAAGGGGGACCCAAAAATAACCGGAACCGACCTGTTGTGCGCGCACGCTTTGTAGTTATGAGTTGTGCTGCTAGGTGGTGTTAGCTGGGGGTCTCCCGTGACTGTTAGTGAGCTGGCATCAGTCTGAGTTAAGTGGTTTGTCTGTGGTGCTCTGTTGTGTGCGTTCCTGTTTCAACCCTTTGGCGATTAG